AAATTATGGCCTGAAAAATACATTTAACATTTTACAGGAGTTTCTCACAATCAGTGAATGGCTGTTTATCACAGTAGTACATGTACATTTCACGGTCTTTTCACAATGGGCACATAATTTATCACGACTTTTTCACGGTGTACAAATTTTTTTTTTTGCACAGGGTTTCTACGGTCTCTTTACCCAAGTTTTTGAAAGACGCCGAAGGTCGATTAATATTTACTTTGTAGATGCAAGACGAGTGACAGCAAGTTTAAGGTAAATTAAGTTATTAATATTTTATTCTTTTATGCATCATATCACCAAAATGTTGATGACGTTTGTGAGCATTTCCATTGAACTGATTTTCACTGAATTTGCAGAAACCGCGCAAACATGCATGTGATATATTCACTTATATTTGAGTCTGTTGCACTTGATTCCTTTAATCATTTCGGTTAATGTTTTCTAAGACTTACCGGATCCTTTAAATATGATTACAGTTTTGTTTTGTTTATGTATTTGGGGAAAAAGGGGGGGGGGTCCTTTTCCCCCACACTGGCCACATAAAAAAAATGACATTTATGTACAGTACACTACGTAGACATAGACATAGATAATTGGAAATGATTATAATAGCAATAAGTATCTCTGAAATGGACTTCACTCTGATAATCAGAGGCGTAACCCCCTTTGAATGTGTCGGGAGCTATTTAAGTATTTTCTGACTTGGCCGTCGGGACACAGAGTTCAAAAGGGATTAATCAGAGGCGTAGCAGGGAAAGTATTTAATATTTGTATGGCAAAATGTCCTTTCTAGAAGGGTTTGTGCCATATCATAAGAATAATTGGTATGGCAATGAGGTGTTTAAAAAATAATTGGTATGGCGAATGTGCCTGCAGTAAAAGATGCTACGCCCCTGGCCCCCTGTAAAATAAATAGCTGTGACTCATTACGGCCACTTAGTCTAGACAAGTTTGGCTTTAGCCATACATATTATTACTTCAACATGTTCAAAGAAACATTTAAATTTAATAGTCTGTCTTAAAAGTGTCTTTAGTCTTTAAAAAAAAATCTAAAAAAAATAATATAAGTTGACAATACAGAACTTCGTTAACTACTGATGCCATATATATTGGATAGGGGGCAGATTTTCTGGAAAATGGTATGAAAATATGGGAAAACCTATGCATGTTTCCAAGTGGCTGTTCTGTTTCAATGATGTTTTTTTTAGTATTTTTCATACCATTTTCACCTCCAGTATGAAAATCTGCCCCCTATTCAATATGGGGTCATTAACCGTGAAGTCCTGTATTGCATGGAATAATATTGTAGCTGTTTTAAGTACATGTATGTACGTAAATGCCAAAAATTAATTTGAATATATAAATAGTTTTTTTATATACATGTATAATATATGTAATGTTTCTTTATTTATTCTAGGAATGAAGAGCAAAAGGATATAGCAGTCTTTATATAAAATAGTTCAGGAATCCAGTTGGAAAGAAGAGCTTTTCAGTTAAAATTATTTCCTGGGAATTAACAGGAACTTTTATAAATGTTTTTCTGGAATAGTTATTCAAAAGGGCAGTGAAGTTAAGGAAATTACATTAGACAAATATTGCTGAAGTGGTAAAATCAGACCCAAGAGATGTACAAAATTTCTACAATACATGTTACAGCTGACTTTAGCTACTTAATCACATTGACATTTGTGTGCTTTTATGTTTTCTTTACATAATTACTACAGTTCTATTAAAATTAATATTTTTATTCTTTGTCACAATTATTACTAAAAAAATACAGCATTTTAATATGGTTTTTCATAGTCTAACTTGCATTGGACTTAAATAAGTTGTCTGTAGATGTTTACACTAGGTTTTCAGGTATTTCACTTCACTTGATTGAAACAGCATTTAAATTTTTTGTTAAATTATGGCCTGAAAAATACATTTAACATTTTACAGGAGTTTCTCACAATCAGTGAATGGCTGTTTATCACAGTAGTACATGTACATTTCACGGTCTTTTCACAATGGGCACATAATTTATCACGACTTTTTCACGGTGTACAAATTTTTTTTTTTGCACAGGGTTTCTACGGTCTCTTTACCCAAGTTTTTGAAAGACGCCGAAGGTCGATTAATATTTACTTTGTAGATGCAAGACGAGTGACAGCAAGTTTAAGGTAAATTAAGTTATTAATATTTTATTCTTTTATGCATCATATCACCAAAATGTTGATGACGTTTGTGAGCATTTCCATTGAACTGATTTTCACTGAATTTGCAGAAACCGCGCAAACATGCATGTGATATATTCACTTATATTTGAGTCTGTTGCACTTGATTCCTTTAATCATTTCGGTTAATGTTTTCTAAGACTTACCGGATCCTTTAAATATGATTACAGTTTTGTTTTGTTTATGTATTTGGGGAAAAAGGGGGGGGTCCTTTTCCCCCACACTGGCCACATAAAAAAAATGACATTTATGTACAGTACACTACGTAGACATAGACATAGATAATTGGAAATGATTATAATAGCAATAAGTATCTCTGAAATGGACTTCACTCTGATAATCAGAGGCGTAACCCCCTTTGAATGTGTCGGGAGCTATTTAAGTATTTTCTGACTTGGCCGTCGGGACACAGAGTTCAAAAGGGATTAATCAGAGGCGTAGCAGGGAAAGTATTTAATATTTGTATGGCAAAATGTCCTTTCTAGAAGGGTTTGTGCCATATCATAAGAATAATTGGTATGGCAATGAGGTGTTTAAAAAATAATTGGTATGGCGAATGTGCCTGCAGTAAAAGATGCTACGCCCCTGGCCCCCTGTAAAATAAATAGCTGTGACTCATTACGGCCACTTAGTCTAGACAAGTTTGGCTTTAGCCATACATATTATTACTTCAACATGTTCAAAGAAACATTTAAATTTAATAGTCTGTCTTAAAAGTGTCTTTAGTCTTTAAAAAAATCTAAAAAAAATAATATAAGTTGACAATACAGAACTTCGTTAACTAATGATGCCATATATATTGGATAGGGGGCAGATTTTCTGGAAAATGGTATGAAAATATGGGAAAACCTATGCATGTTTCCAAGTGGCTGTTCTGTTTCAATGATGTTTTTTTTAGTATTTTTCATACCATTTTCACCTCCAGTATGAAAATCTGCCCCCTATTCAATATGGGGTCATTAACCGTGAAGTCCTGTATTGCATGGAATAATATTGTAGCTGTTTTAAGTACATGTATGTACGTAAATGCCAAAAATTAATTTGAATATATAAATAGTTTTTTTATATACATGTATAATATATGTAATGTTTCTTTATTTATTCTAGGAATGAAGAGCAAAAGGATATAGCAGTCTTTATATAAAATAGTTCAGGAATCCAGTTGGAAAGAAGAGCTTTTCAGTTAAAATTATTTCCTGGGAATTAACAGGAACTTTTATAAATGTTTTTCTGGAATAGTTATTCAAAAGGGCAGTGAAGTTAAGGAAATTACATTAGACAAATATTGCTGAAGTGGTAAAATCAGACCCAAGAGATGTACAAAATTTCTACAATACATGTTACAGCTGACTTTAGCTACTTAATCACATTGACATTTGTGTGCTTTTATGTTTTCTTTACATAATTACTACAGTTCTATTAAAATTAATATTTTTATTCTTTGTCACAATTATTACTAAAAAAATACAGCATTTTAATATGGTTTTTCATAGTCTAACTTGCATTGGACTTAAATAAGTTGTCTGTAGATGTTTACACTAGGTTTTCAGGTATTTCACTTCACTTGATTGAAACAGCATTTAAATTTTTTGTTAAATTATGGCCTGAAAAATACATTTAACATTTTACAGGAGTTTCTCACAATCAGTGAATGGCTGTTTATCACAGTAGTACATGTACATTTCACGGTCTTTTCACAATGGGCACATAATTTATCACGACTTTTTCACGGTGTACATTTTTGTTTTTCACAGGGTTTCTACGGTCTCTTTACCCAAGTTTTCATTGCCTTTTCACGACAAATAATTACTATATCTACATTTCACGGTCTTTTCACAATGGGCAAATAATGCATTATCACAACTTTTTCACAGGGTTTCTACGGTCTTTTCACCCAAGTTTTCAGGTGGCACCTCTTCACGGCCTTTTCACAAACTTTTCACAGCCTTTTCACGACAGTCATTCCACGGTATTGTCACGGATAAGTTTCACGGCCCACCGTAAATTAACCGTAACAAACACTGTAAAAATCACCAGCATTTTTACGGACATTTTCACGGCCAATCTACGGGGGATTGTTCCAGTAGTGAATTCTGACTTAAATGAACAAATGGTAGAGCTCAACATTCTGAACATTTAGGTCGTGTCAGATTTTCTCTATTTATAACGGTTTTCAAATTAATAGACAAAACTTGCATTTTACCCTTATGTTCTATTTTTAGGCATGTGGGCCATCTTGGTTAACAGGACACATTTTTTAAACTAGATACCCCAATAATGATTGTGGCCAAGTTTGGTTAAATTTGATTCAGTAGTTTCAGAGGAGAAGATTTTTGTGAAAGTTAACGGACGACGACGACGCAAAGTCAGGAGAAAAGCTCACTTAGCCCTTTTCAACCTATTCACCATTCCAGGAGCAGACACCTACCACTTATGACAAATTTTTAAATGTACTTGTGAGAAGTGGGAAAACATCTGTTCTGAAGATTGATACGGTATAATTTAAATTGGACATGATATTTGTAGAATATAATTGATGCATTTTATCCAAGTACCTTTCTCTTAAATTTCTTTTTCTTTTTCATATTTTGATACATCCATAATCAGAACAAAGACCAATCGACTCAAAGTTCATCTTTCCAAAAGAATGTCTTCACATGCAAATGTTATCACAGCATTTGGACAACTTTGACTGACATATGAAACAACATCCAAATACTCTATCATGTCATGCACAATAGGTCTAATTTTTTTTATAATAAAGAATTGACAACAATATAAATAACACTGATTACTTTACTTATAGAAAGTTGCTTTCCAAAAAAAATAAATGAAGTCTTTTTCTTCCATTTTAAATGTAGAATATAAATTAAAAGTCAGCTGAATACATTTTTTGTTTTAAATCATCATCCTTTTCCAACTGTCAACGTTATTTCTTGCTGTTTAGAAATTTCGTGTACTAGAGAATGTTGATGACTGTAGGTCGCAGTTATAAATATTAGCAAGTATACTAACTGCCTGGAACTGTTGAACTTCGGAGATATATATTATACAAGAAAGTTGATGTTTCATTTTTCTTTCTTCTACGATAACTTGTATTCCGCCTGACAACAAATCACAAAAGCAAACTGTTAGGAAGAGAATGATCAAATGATAACTCACAACAAACATCACTGAATATTAACAACTTGTTCTTTTGGTATACATTGTTTTTATTTCTCCAGAATTTCCAACTGTTTATTTGCAGTGTCAATCTGGTATCTTTCTATTTTAAACATTTTTTCAGCTAACTGTTACACAATTGCTGATTTTCTTGTGACCTATACACCAAAAATTACACCATATTTTTTTTGCAATAGGATGTTTCAGCATAAGCTTTACAAGTTGTGTTTCTTCTTATTTCTGTCAAGACTTACAGGAACTACTAGTATCTGAAAAGAGGTAAAGTTAGGTTTATATCATTGTATACTAAAACACATTAATGCTGAACAAACACTTCTGTACTAACAACACAAGAGTTAAATACTTAAATGCTACAATACAGGAAAAATAATGTTCAGAAATCTCTTCCTTGTACAGCAGTCACACATAGACAAATAACTTATGCCATATTATGGCCAATGGGAAACATATATACCTTCTAGTACCAGAGACAACATGTACCATATAGCTTTTAACATTTAGCAAAACCCATACCGCATAAAAAAAAACCTTAGCAAGACAAAGTGTGTCTCTTAACTTAGGACAGGCACATAAACAACTAGAGGCTCTAAAGAGCCTGTGTCGCTCACCTTGGTCTATGTGCATTTTAAACAAAGGACACAGATGGATTCATGACAAAATTGTGTTTTGGTGATGGCGATGTGTTTTTAGATCTTACTTTACTGAGCATTCTTGCTGCTTACAATTATCTCTATCTATAATGAACTTGGCCCAGTAGTTACAGTGGAAAATATTTTGTAAAAATTTACAAAAATTTACAAATTTATGAAAATTGTAAAAAATTGACTATAAAGGGCAATAACTCCTTAAGGGGTCAGTTGATAATTTTGGTCATGTTGACTTATTTGTAGATCTTACTTTGCTGTACATTATTGCTGTTTACAGTTTATCTCTATCTATAATAATATTCAAGATAATAACCAAAAGCTGCAAAATTTTCTTAAAATTACCAATTCAGGGGCAGCAACCCAACAACGTGTTGCCTGATTGGTCTGAAAATTTCAAGGCAGATAGATCTTGACCTGATGAACAATTTTATCCTTGTCAGATTTGCTCTAATGGCTTTGATTTCAGATATATGAGCCAAAAACTACCTTTTTCCCTATGTACTATTTTTTAGCCATGTCGGCCATCTTTTTTCGTGGGCGGGGTCATCGGACACATTATTTAAACTAGATACCCTAATGAAGATTGTGGACAAGTTTGGTTAAATTTGTCTTAGTAGTTTCAGAGGAGAAGATTTTTGTAAAAGATAACAAAAATTTACGAAAAATGGTTAAAAATTGACTATAAAGGGTAATAGCTCCTTAAGGGGTCAACTGACCATTTTGGTCAAGTTGACTTATTTGTAGATCTTACTTTGCTGAACATTATTGCTGTTCACAGTTTATCTCTATCTATAATAATATTCAAGATAATAACCAAAAACGGCAAAATTTCCTTAAAATTACCAACTTAGGGGCAGCAACCCAACAACGGGTTGTCAGATTCATCTAAAAATTTAAGGACAGATAGATCTTGACCTGATAAACAATTTTACTCCATGTCAGATTTGCTCTAAATGCTTTGGTTTCAGAGATATAAGCCAAAATCTACATTTTACCCCTATGTTCTATTTTTAGCCATGGCGGCCATCTTGGTTGGTTGGCCTGGTCACCAGACACATTTTTTAAACTAGATACCCCAATGATGATTGTGGCCAAGTTTGGTTTAATTTGGCTAAGTAGTTTCAGAGGAGAAGGTTTTTGTAAAAGTTAACGACGATGGATTCACTTATTTTGGCCGTTTTATTTGTTCTTTGGATATTGTCTTACTGGTCGGTTTTGTTATTTTTAAGTTTTTTTTATCTACAATTGTCCTTGCAAAAGGCGCAAACAATGTGTTAAAATCAACCATGCGACTTATTTGAAGATTTAGCTGACCTTTATTGTTGTTTAACGATTTCAATCATATAACTTGTACGTAGATCGTATTTCCCCCTCAAAGAGTTATTCAAATGGTTCTTAAACGTATAGACAGCGTGAAACTCTCACTACACCAGGCAATGAATATACGACATTTCTATTCCGACCGGACAAAGCTGCGTATTTATACATCCGAACAGCCTAACGGACGCACCCCTGTAGCAAGGGTGAATATTTCTATACCCAAGTCAATCCTTTGGTTTTGAAAAAAGGGTGATAAAGGTATACATTAATGCGACAGCAACCCAACGACACAGACAAATCAAAACATTAAAAGACAATATACAATATTTTGTAATAGAAAGATGCCTATACAGAATAATAAGCTCAAAACCGCCCCATGACTAGAAAATACGGAGTGATGAGAATAGCTCACTTGGCCCTTTGGGCCAGGTGAGCTAAAAAGGCGGCGTAAAACATATGTGTGAGCACTCATCCCTTCCAGTAACCTCAATAAACCATGTTTCCCCGACTAAAATACCCAATAGATTAGGTGTTAAAAAGTCATAATATATAGTCATGAAAAGCATGACCTTGTAATATGCAAGTAATGCAACATATAAGTATTGAACCAAAAGGGTTCGTAACTGTAAAGCCAAACACAATCAATACAAATGAGCACCTTTCTAACCAAAGCACCATACTTCTGAGAGAATTTAGTAAAGATTGTATTACTAAGTAATTTGTAGCATAAAAATCCCTGACTAAATAATTTAATGGTTGTTTTCATAAATTCATGAAAGTTGAACAGTCCAGAGCAAATATAATATGTACGTCTATGCTTGGAAGAGATCCCCGCCATATTTCAAATGTATGCAGGCGTGTTCCATAATTTACATTTGCCTACCATATTTATTTATAAAACTCTCTTCTCTTCAACCTTGCTCTATGTGCGACCTAATGTGGACATATTGAAAACCAAATTCCAGAATATTTTTTTTTGTATCATTTGAGGGGAAATGGCATACCCTGAAAAATTTGTATAGTATTTTATTAAATTTTTTCTTGAAACTATTTTCATCAGCTACACTGGTAGTTGTTCAAGGGTTCCGGGTAGTTAGTGGTTCTTTGTGTTAAACGATTAAACATGTAGGAGCCTGTTGTTCAGTGGTTGTCGTTTGTTGGTGTGGTTCAACGGTGTTTCTCGTTTCTCGTTTTTATATAGATTAGACCATTGTTTTTCCTGTTTGAATTGTTTTACACTAGTCATTTTACGGCCCTTTATAGCTTGCTGTTCGGTGTGAGCCAATGCTCCGTGTTGAAGGCCTTACTTTGACCTATAATTGTTAACTTTTTATACATTGTGACTTGGATGGGGAGTTGTCTCATTCATTATCACTCATACCACATCTTCTTATTTATATAAACATCTTTTTATTTTTACTTTCTTTTTATTTGTTTTTGCATTTGTGGGTTTTAAATTCTTTTCTTTTTTTTTTACTGACAGGGTCGGAGTCGTACACATTTGGTGAGTATCTCAACCGTTTCTTCTTGAGCTGAACATTCGTATTTCCTAACCAAAAATTAATATGTTTTAAAAGATATACACAAATATATAAATGCCTATTTTTCCCACCATCCGTTTGCGCATGCGTAAATGTTCATTTCACCAGCTGTGTTGGAATTGCAATCATGCATATGCAATGGACTATGTGAAAATTGGAGATCATGTTTTATATTTAAAAGATGTCATAAAGAAAATGACAGAGGATGTGATTGCTTAAAAAACAAATTTCTATGGGACAGACTTGAAAACAATAGCGTGTGCAGTTAAACTGAGAAGAATAAAGCGTGAAATCCATTTTCGAGGTTAGAAATAGTTGTTAAAACAATGAATTAAACCAAATAAAACATAATTTCTGCCTACCAGTGATTCTAAAACTGCACGAACTTATAAATTATAAATCAAATTGTACTACAAAGCTTACATCAGAAGTATTCCTATTATCTATGAAATGCTAGCACAAGAAAATCAAGGAAATATAATTTGCTTCTAAATTTTAATTCTAACAGCCCGGTAAGACTAGCCTGCACATCTTTATACAACTGTAAGCGTGTTGTAAAATATGTACTTTCAACATAGTAACTAATGAAACAAACAAAATATGTATCAAAACATTTGCTATTCATTATAACATTAGTGAACAAGATTAATTACTTTCAGTTTGCTATAAAAGAGGGACAGTCAAACTCGTAGATCGAAAACAAACTGACAACGCCATGGCCAAAAATAAAAAGACAAACAGACAAATAATAGTACAGATGACACAACATAGAAAACCAAAGACTAAGCAACACGAACCCCACCAAAAACTGGGGGTGATCTCAGGTGCTCAAGAAGGGTAAGCAGATCCTGCTCCACATGTGGCACCCGTCGTGTTGCTTATGTACTACAATAAGCTGTTAATTTTGTAGATTACAATACCAATTTTAATATAGATTTAATTTTTTCTTACTGATCGTAATTTCAGTTCTTCTAAATATTTTGATGTTAATTCTACTTATGATGATAAAGTTGGGAGATGTTTTGAGCAGGAAATAGTCCTATGTCGCAAAATGTAAATATCTTAAGTCAAGTCAAAATTAAGACGTGGTCTATTTTTGACCTTCAAATAATATTTTGGTGATGACAGATATCTGGTAGTCAGTATCAAATGTATTCAGAACTTGTGTAGAACAGGAGGAATTTAGAACTTAATTAATGGTAACCTTTCATTTGCAAGATACTGTATCGACATTCATTTGTTGTAAAGGACCATATGATCACCTATACATGTCTTGTCTACTTTTATTTATTAATAATTGTTTGGTTGAAACATAATTGATGTTTTCTAAACACCTTATGCTATTCATTATAAAGATAACAAAAACACTAGAAAATGCTAGAAAGCAACATAGAAATATAATACATGCAATTTTATGGCGACATAAGCCACATCATGGTCACAATGAACTGAACAGCATGTTGCCTATATGAATCTAAATTTCACCAATGAATCAGCTGATAAGCTGCAATAACAACTTAGTATAACTAGACATCATTGAGATGGGAGCCATCTCTGTGGGCCCCGCTGTAAATAACAGGTTACTATTTGACTATTAAAGATGTTAGTGGTTGAATCTCTTAGAGCAGGTTACATGTGCTATTAAACAGTACACCAGCTGCACTTTACCCTTTTTAATTTTTAGAAATATAATATAAAAGAAAAAAAAAACTTCTTGAAATAGACACAGGTTATTTCGCATTACTTGTAAAGCCAGAATTATGCCATTTAAATTGTTGGAACTTTGTAATGTATCTGTATTCACTAGATTAAATAGTTCTTGTGTTTACCTATAAAACAGTCCATTTTTAAAGTACAGTAAATATTTTTATCATGTGGAAATCTATACGTCAGTAGTCCTAGGCTCCGCTAAAATACTTCAGATTGAATTATTTGATTGGTTTAAATGTGTTGCGTTGCCAATCTCCCTATCTTGGTTTATTTTATCTTTCAGAGTGATAACACAACATGTCCTGGTGGAGTAATATCTCCACATATAATTACTCAATAGAGAACAGAACTAAGCCAGTTGTATGGATTGACGGAAAAAGACATAAAGATGAGTCCTGCAGCAAATGTTAAGGACTACAATGACAATGATCCGCATCAGTTTTCGTGTGGTAAAAAATTTGTATGGATAAGCTGATATGAAGCACTTTTTTAAGTTATTACACCCTCTAGTGTTGGTTAATATACATGTCAAGTATAAACTTTGAAATCATAACGGTTCTAAAGATATAGAGCGGACACGATCTTTACCATAGGACATAGGGTTGTCAACTGAAACCAAAGTTTTTGACCTTGAACTTTGACCTAGGAAGTTGTACAAACATTATGACACACCCTCTGGTGTTGGTTACTATACATGTCAAGTATAAAGTATGAAATTATAACAGTTCTCTAGATATAGAGACACAATTTGTTACGGACAGAGGGACGGACAGACTGATCACTATAGGGCGATTCGCCACTTGGCGGGGCCCTTATTAAATAATTTGCTTTGTCAGGCAGACATAATTCAAAACTTTCGATGATTTGTCTCTTATTAACAATACAGGATTCCATATTTCAAACTATATATGATGTAAAATTTATTGTTAAATGTTAAAATCAAGCAGACATGGAATTCTAAATTTTTGTGAAACTGATATCTAACCTGCTATTATTCCACCTTGCGAAGAGGTATCACGCTGTAGTAGTGGTGTTTTCTGTTCCAGAGGCTGTTCTGAAAAATAAATTAGAAATATTTCAATATGAAGAATAAGATCTGTTATACCATTGAACAAATAAAATGCTTCGCTGGGCGCAGCTTGATACGACCGCAGAGGTCGAACCCTGAACAGTTGGGGCAAGTATGGACACAACATTCAAGCTTGATACAGCTCTGAATTTGGATTGTGATTAAATATTTGACACAGCATAGGTTTCTGACACAGAAAGAATGTGGTCTAAGAACTTCAATTTTTTTAATTTACCTATTATGGTCCAATGTCCAAAATCAAAATACATGGTTAGATTCAGCATATCAAAGAACCCCATATATTCAATTTTTGTTGAAATCAAACACAGTTTAATTTTGGACCCCAACTTGGACAAACTTGAAAACTGGTCCCAAAATCAAAAATCTAAACACATGTTTAGATTCAGCATATCAAAGTACCCCAAGAATTCAATTTTTGTTAAAATCAAACTAAGTTTAATTTTGGACCCTTTGGACCTTAATGTAGACCAATTTAAAAAACGGGACCCAAAATTAAAAATCTAAAAACACGGTTAGATTTGGCATATCAAAGAACCCCAATAATTCAATTTTTGATGAAATCAAACAAAGTTTAATTTTGGACCCTTTTGACCTCAATATGAACCAATTTGATAGCAGGCCCACAAAATAAAAAATCTAAATACATGGTAAGATTCAGCATATCAAAGAACCCCATATATTCAATTTTTGTTGAAATCAAACAAAGTTTAATTTTGGACCCCAATTTGGACCAACTTGAAAACTGGGCCAAAAATCTAAAATCTAAATACATGTTTAGATTCAGCATATCAAAGAACCCCATATATTCAATTTTTGTTGAAATCAAACAAAGTTCAATTTTGGACCCCAACTTGGACCAACTTGAAAACTGGTCCCATAATCAAAAATCTAAACACATGTTTAGATTCAGCATATCAAAGAACCCCAAAAATTCAATTTTTGTTAAAATTAAACTAAGTTTAATTTTGGACCCTTTGGACCTTAATGTAGACCAATTTAAAAAACAGGACCCAAAATTAAAAATCTAAATACACGGTTAGATTTGGCATATCAAAGAACCCCGATAATTAAATTTTTGATGAAATCAAACAAAGTTTAATTTTGGACCCTTTTGACCTCAATATGAACCAATTTGATAGCGGGCCCACAAATAAAAAATCTAAATACATGGTAAGATTCAGCATATCAAAGAACCCCATATATTCAATTTTTGTTGAAATCAAACAAAGTTTAATTTTGGACCCCAATTTGGACCAACTTGAAAACTGGGCCAAAAATCTAAAATCTAAATACATGTTTAGATTCAGCATATCAAAGAACCCCATATATTCAATTTTTGTTGAAATCAAACAAAGTTTAATTTTGGACCCCAACTTGGACCAACTTGAAAACTGGGCCCATAATCAAAAATCTAAACACATGTTTAGATTCAGCATATCAAAGAACCCCAAGAATTCAATTTTTGTTAAAATCAAACTAAGTTTAATTTTGGACCCTTTGGACCTTAATGTAGACCAATTTAAAAACGGGACCCAAAATTAAAAATCGAAATACACGGTTAGATTTGGCATATCAAAGAACCCCAATAATTCAATTTTTGATGAAATCAAACAAAGTTTAATTTTGGACCCTTTTGACCTCAATATGAACCAATTTGATAGCGGGTCCACAAATAAATAATCTAAATACATGGTTAGATTCAGAATATCAAAGAACCCCAAGAATTCAATTTTTGATGAAATCAAACAAAGTTTAATTTTGGACCCTTTTGACCTCAATGTGGACAAAGTTGATAACGGGGCCCAAAAATCAAAAATGTAAATACATGGTTAGATTCAGCATATCAAAGAACCCCATATATTCAATTTTTGTTGAAATCAAACAAAGTTTAATTTGGACCCCGATTTGGACCAACTTGAAAACTGGGCCCATAATCAAAAATCTAAATACATGTTTAGATTCAGCATATCAAAGTACCCTAAAAATTCAATTTTTGTTAAAATCAAACTAAGTTTAATTTTGGACCCTTTTGACCTTAATGTAGACCAATTTGAAAACGGAACCAAAAATTAAGAATCTAAATACACGGTTAGATTCGGCATATCAAAGAACCCCAATAATTCAATTTTTGATGAAATCAAACAAAGTTAAATTTTGGACCCTTTGGACCTCAATGTGGACCAATTTAAAAACGGGGCCCAAAATCCAAAAACTTAATACACGGTTAGATTCAGCATATTAAAGAACCCCAAGAATTCAAGAATAAAACCCCATTGAAATTGATCAAGAAATAAGCAATTTATATGAAGTATCTTCTTTTGCACAATACTGTGCAATTGAATATTTCTTGCTATTGTGCAATACTGTACAATTGACAATTTCTTGCTATTGCGCAATATTGTGCTATTGGATATTTCTTGCTATTGCGCAATACTGTGCAATTGAAGATTTCTTGCTATTGCGCAATACTGTGCAATTGAAGATTTCTTGCAATTGTGCAATACTGTGCAATTGAAAATTTCTTGCTATTGCACAATACTTATTATATAATAATTTACACATCCTGTTTGGTGTGTATCTCCTACCATATCATTATTATTTGCTTTTAAATATTAATCAGAAATAACCAACTTAAAATGGAAAATTTTAAAAGAAAAAAAAAAGGAAAAAAAGAAAAAAAAATCAAAAAAAAAATCCCCCCCCCCAAATTTTTTGAACCCCCTTATGATTCATCACCCCCAAACTCAATCCCAGCCTTCCCTTTGTGGTATGGTACCTTGCAGTACAATTTCAGAGAGATCCATACACTTGAACACAAGTTATTGTCTGGAAACTAGAAAAATGCTTATTTTTGGCCCCTTTTTGGCCCCCAATTCCTAAACGTTTCGGGCAATTACCCCCAAACTCAATTCCAGCTTTCCCTTTGTGATATGGAACCTTGTAGTACAATTTCAGAAATATCCAAACACTTACACACAAGTTATTGTCATGAAACTAGAAAAATGCTTGTTTTTTGCCCCTTTTTTTGCCCCTAATTCCTAAAATTTTGAGGCAATTACCCCCAAAATCAATTACAGCCTTCCCTTTGTGATATGGAACCTTGTGGTACAATGTCAGAGAGATCCATACACTTACACACAAGTTATTGTCTGGAAGTTACAAAAATGCTTATTTTTGGCCCCTTTTTGGCCCCTAATTCCTTAACTGTTGGTACCATAACCCCCAAAATCAATCCCCACCTTCCTTTCGTGGTATTGAACCTTATGGTAAAATTTCATGGAGATCCATTCACTTAAACTAAAGTTAGAGTGCGAAAACCAATGTGTCTTCGGACGACGCCGGACGACGCCAGACGACGACGACGACGACGACGACGACGACGACGACGACGACGACGCCAACGTCATACCAATATACGACCAAAAAATTTTCAATTTTTGCGGTCGTATAAAAACAGTTGATCATTAATGAATAAATTTCGAGGGTAATATCTCCTGAAGAAATGTGAAAAGACACACAATTGCCTTATTACATCATAGAACAATGAATATCTTTTGTCTTGTAATTAAATGGTATAATGTATCAAAATTTAATTTACTGTAATAATTATCCTTATGAAGACCTTAGACTGAAAATTGGGAAAGATATTTTCATGTGCATAGAAACAAATTTGCGATAAAAACAACATATACTCAACAACCAAAGAAACGCACCACTTACACATTAATTTCTATATGGAGAGTACCGTCTTTTGGTATGTATAGTGCGCACATTTATACCCTGGGTCATGTTTCTTGTAAGAGGGGTGCGCGTTATACATGCCTACAGACATTTTCTTAGTCTTTTTTCAGGTCCAAACTCCCGACAAAGAAATTTCCAGGAGTAGTGGAGAGTACGGAATATTTTTGAATAAAAATGACAGAGGATGTGATTGCTTAAAAAACAAATTTCTATGGGACAGACTTGAAAACAATAGCGTGTGCAGTTAAACTGAGAAGAATAAAGCGTGAAATCCATTTTCGAGGTTAGAAATAATTGTTAAAACAATGAATTAAACCAAATAAAACATAATTTCTGCCTACCAGTGATTCTAAAACTGCACGAACTTATAAATTATAAATCAAATTGTACTACAAAGCTTACATCAGAAGTATTCCTATTATCTATGAAATGCTAGCACAAGAAAATCAAGGAAATATAATTTGCTTCTAAATTTTAATTCTAACAGCCCGGTAAGACTAGCCTGCACATCTTTATACAACTGTAAGCGTGTTGTAAAATATGTACTTTCAACATAGTAACTAATGAAACAAACAAAATATGTATCAAAACATTTGCTATTCATTATAACATTAGTGAACAAGATTAATTACTTTCAGTTTGCTATAAAAGAGGGACAGTCAAACTCATAGATCGAAAACAAACTGACAACGCCATGGCCAAAAATAAAAAGACAAACAGACAAATAATAGTACAGATGACACAACATAGAAAACCAAAGACTAAGCAACACGAACCCCACCAAAAACTGGGGGTGATCTCAGGTGCTCAAGAAGGGTAAGCAGATCCTGCTCCACATGTGGCACCCGTCGTGTTGCTTATGTACTACAATAAGCTGTTAATTTTGTAGATTACAATACCAATTTTAATATAGATTTAATTTTTTCTTACTGATCGTAATTTCAGTTCTTCTAAATATTTTGATGTTAATTCTACTTATGATGATAAAGTTGGGAGATGTTTTGAGCAGGAAATAGTCCTATGTCGCAAAATGTAAATATCTTAAGTCAAGTCAAAATTAAGACGTGGTCTATTTTTGACCTTCAAATAATATTTTGGTGATGACAGATATCTGGTAGTCAGTATCAAATGTATTCAGAACTTGTGTAGAACAGGAGGAATTTAGAACTTAATTAATGGTAACCTTTCATTTGCAAGATACTGTATCGACATTCGTTTGTTGTGAAGGACCATATGATCACCTATACATGTCTTGTCTACTTTTATTTATTAATAATTGTTTGGTTGAAACATAATTGATGTTTTCTAAACACCTTATGCTATTCATTATAAAGATAACAAAAACACTAGAAAATGCTAGAAAGCAACATAGAAATATAATACATGCAATTTTATGGCGACATAAGCCACATCATGGTCACAATGAACTGAACAGCATGTTGCCTATATGAATCTAAATTTCACCAATGAATCAGCTGATAAGCTGCAATAACAACTTAGTATAACTAGACATCATTGAGATGGGAGCCATCTCTGTGGGCCCCGCTGTAAATAACAGGTTACTATTTGACTATTAAAGATGTTAGTGGTTGAATCTCTTAGAGCAGGTTACATGTGCTATTAAACAGTACACCAGCTGCACTTTACCCTTTTTAATTTTTAGAAATATAATATAAAAGAAAAAAAAAACTTCTTGAAATAGACACAGGTTATTTCGCATTACTTGTAAAGCCAGAATTATGCCATTTAAATTGTTGGAACTTTGTAATGTATCTGTATTCACTAGATTAAATAGTTCTTGTGTTTACCTATAAAACAGTCCATTTTTAAAGTACAGTAAATATTTTTATCATGTGGAAATCTATACGTCAGTAGTCCTAGGCTCCGCTAAAATACTTCAGATTGAATTATTTGATTGGTTTAAATTTGTTGCGTTGCCAATCTCCCTATCTTGGTTTATTTTATCTTTCAGAGTGATAACACAACATGTCCTGGTGGAGTAATATCTCCACATATAATTACTCAATAGAGAACAGAACTAAGCCAGTTGTATGGATTGATGGAAAAAGACATAAAGATGAGTCCTGCAGCAAATGTTAAGGACTACAATGACAATAATCCGCATCAGTTTTCGTGTGGTAAAAAATTTGTATGGATAAGCTGATATGAAGCACTTTTTTAAGTTATTACACCCTCTAGTGTTGGTTAATATACATGTCAAGTATAAACTTTGAAATCATAACGGTTCTAAAGATATAGAGCGGACACGATCTTTACCATAGACATAGGGTTGTCAACTGAAACCAAAGTTTTTGACCTTGAACTTTGACCTAGGAAGTTGTACAAACATTATGACACACCCTCTGGTGTTGGTTACTATACATGTCAAGTATAAAGTATGAAATTATAACAGTTCTCTAGATATAGAGACACAATTTGTTACGGACAGAGGGACGGACAGACTGATCACTATAGGGCGATTCGCCACTTGGTGGGGCCCTTATTAAATAATTTGCTTTGTCAGGCAGACATAATTCAAAACTTTCGATGATTTGTCTCTTATTAACAATACAGGATTCCATATTTCAAACTATATATGATGTAAAATTTATTGTTAAATGTTAAAATCAAGCAGATATGGAATTCTAAATTTTTGTGAAACTGATATCTAACCTGCTATTATTCCACCTTGCGAAGAGGTATCACGCTGTAGTAGTGGTGTTTTCTGTTCCAGAGGCTGTTCTGAAAAATAAATTAGAAATATTTCAATATGAAGAATAAGATCTGTTATACCATTGAACAAAAAACAGTTGATCATTAATGAATAAATTTCGAGGGTAATATCTCCTGAAGAAATGTGAAAAGACACACAATTGCCTTATTACATCATAGAACAATGAATATCTTTTGTCTTGTAATTAAATGGTATAATGTATCAAAATTTAATTTACTGTAATAAATATCCTTATGAAGACCTTAGACTGAAAATTGGGAAATATATTTTTATTTGCATAGAAACAAATTTGCGATAAAAACAACATATACTCAACAACCAAAGAAACGCACCACTTACACATTAATTTCTATATGGAGAGTACCGTCTTTTGGTATGTATAGTGAGCACATTTATACCCTGGGTCATGTTTCTTGTAAGAGGGGTGCGCGTTATACATGCCTACAGACATTTTCTTAGTCTTTTTTCAGGTCCAAACTCCCGACAAAGAAATTTCCAGGAGTAGTGGAGAGTACGGAATATTTTTGCTAAAACCTTGATTGTTTTTATGTTTTCTTGTTATATTTGTAATATGTATCTTATTGTTCTTGATTTGTCATGTTTTATTCAAATAAAAAACATTTTATATCTCTGTAGTTATGTTTATCGTGTAAATTTGTCCATCTGTTTGCAATCTGGAAATTTGCCATGTCTTAATAAAGACACAATAAAGCTTTTGTTGTCGGGTAAATTAGTCTCTGTGTTCCTTGTTGTCATAACTTACTGTTTTTGTATGTGTTCATCATGGAGAGTAGAAGAAAAGTGTATGAAAATTGAATAAACCACGCTCGTTTTGAAAAGATAAACCATTTTCTCTAATGTATCAGGTGATCGCCAGTCATGTTGGCCAGTCATGTGACTTGATATTGTAAAGTGATGATTTAGTCTATGAGAAGTTTATTTTTCTAAATATGTTTCTACTTTTTAACTTTTAAACAACTGTTTAAAACCGTTCAAGAAATTGTGATTGAAAACATGATAATCCCATAATTGTAACCTGAATGAATTTAATTAGGAACAAGGTGAACCTGTAACTGATTTGTTTTGACATCTATTAGACCCATTGATTGAGGTGTGATAATCCGGATTAACAGCTAGAATCAACAAACAAACAATAAAAATAATGAGATTTTAACAATTTATTACAGCACTAATGATGTTAATGATAAATCATTTGACTGATTCGTAATTATGTTATTGTTTCAATCAGAACATTAATTTGGATATTGAATCTTGTCCTTGATACTCAAACAATTTATTAAATTTGGTTTTAAAAAAACAAACTTAAATGTAGATTTATCTCAATCTAATAAAATTCTTATTCATTTGTCAGAATATTTGCAATTTCATATTAATTACGTATTCCGTACGGAATTCTCCGACATCGGTGTCCATTTAAAAAACTTCCTGTTTACCTATAGAATTCCTGTTTGCTGATTTTGGAGCTGTAACTTTTCAGAAAATGTCTAAAAGTCTTATACAAACAATTAACTTTTTTCTCACGTTTCTTGGACCATAAAGGGGGTGCACACTATACACAAATGCACACTACACACCCCAAAAGACGGTAAATTTATTTTTGCATTCACATTTTCAAAGTGATGGTAAGGTACCTTGCAGTACAATTTCAGAGAGATCCATACACTTGAACACAAGTTATTGTCTGGAAACTAGAAAAATGCTTGTTTTTTGGTCCCTTTTTGGCCCCAAATTCCTACACATTAAGGGCAATTACCCCCAAACTCAAACCCAGCTTTCCCTTTGTGATATGGAATCTTGTAGTACAATTTCATAAAGATCCATACACTTTCACACAAGTTATTGTCCTGAAACTAGAAAAATGCTTGTTTTTTGCCCCTTTTTGGCCCCTAATTCCTAAAATTTTGAGGCAATTTAATACCCCCAAAATCAATCCCAGCCTACCCTTTGTGGTATGGTACCTTGCAGTACAATTTCAAAGAGATCCATACACTTGAACACAAGTTATTGTCTGGAAACTACAAAAATGCTTCTTTTTGGCCCCTTATTCCTAAACGTTTTGGGCAATTACCCCCAAACTCAATTCCAGCTTTCCCTTTGTGATATGGATCCTTTTAGTACAATTTCAGAAAGATCCATACACTAAAACACAAGTTATTGTCATGAAACTAGAAAAATGTTGTTTTTTGCCCTGTTTTTGGCCCCTAATTCCTAAAATTTTGAGGCAATTACCCCCAAAATCAATCCAAGCATTTCCTTTGTGATATGGAACCTTGTGGTACAATGTCAGAGAGATCCATACACTTACACACAAGTTATTGTCTGGAATAAAATTGAGAATGGAATTGGGGAATGTGTCAAAGAGACAACAACCCGACCATAGAACAGACAACAGCAGAAGGTCACCAACAGGTCTTCAATGCAGCGAGAAATTCCCGCACCCGGAGGCGTCCTTCAGCTGGCCCCTAAACAAATATATATACTAGTTCAGTGATAATGAACGCCCTACTAAACTCCAAATTGTACACAAGAAAAAAAAATGGAAGTTACAAAAATGCTTATTTTTGGCCCCTAATTCCTCAACTGTTGGTACCATAACCCCCAAAATCAATCCCCACCTTCCTTTTGTGGTATTGAGCCTTATGGTAAAATTTCATAGAGATCCATTCACTTTAAAAACTAAAGTTATTGTGCGAAAAACCAATGTGTCTTCAGACGCGGATGACGCCACATCATACCAATATACGACCGTGTAACTTATGACATAAAAACAATGAAAATAACTTGATTTTCAGTTTCTAAAAACCATTTTTTTTTTCAATTACCAATTTGAAATTGACTTTTCTCAGACTTTCTATTTTTGACTTGTGTGGATGACATCTCAGTTGTCGCCCCTAAAATGAAAATTTCTCTGTAAACTCTGCATTTATTTAAAGGTTATGCTTAAAATATGCTAGATTTCTAGAAATTTGTAGCAAAAACAAGAAATTGTGAAATAACTATACATGATAAGATGTGGTGCTTTACCTTGACCTTTGACCTAGGAAGTTGTACATACATTATGACACACCCTGTGGTGTTGGTTAATATACATATCAAGTATAAACTATGAAATCATAACAATTTTCAAGATATAGAGCGGACATGATCTTTACCATAGAACATTGGGTTGTCAACTGAAACCAAAGTTTTTGACCTTGAACTTTGACCTAGGAAGTTGTACAAACATTATGACACACCCTCTGGTGTTGGTTAATATACATGTCAAGTATAAAGTATGAAATTATAACAGTTCTCTAGATATATCACGGACACAATTTGTTACGGACGGACAGACTGATAACTATAGGGCGACCCGCCACTAGGCGGGGCCCTTATTAAATAATTTGCTTTGTCAGGCAGACATAATTCAAAGCTTTCGATGATTTGCCTCTTATTAACAATACAGGATTCCATATTTCAAACTATATATGATGTAAAATTTATTGTTAAATGTTAAAATCAGGCAGATATGGAATTCTAAATTTTTGTGAAGCTGATATCGAACCTGCTATTATTTTACCTTGCGTAGAGATATCACACTGTGGTATTGGTGTTTTCTGTTCCAGAGGCTGTTCTGAAAAATAAATTAGAAATATTTCAATATGAAGAATAAGGATCTGTTATACCATTGAACAAAAAGCAATTGATCATTAATGAATAAATTTCGAGGGTAATATCTCCTGAAGAAATGTGAAAAGACACACAATTGCCTTATTACATCATAGAACAATAATTATCTTTTGTCTTGTAATTAAATGGTATAATGTATCAAAATTTAATTTACTGTAATAATTATCCTTATGAAGACCTTAGACTGAAAATTGGGAAAGATATTTTCATGTGCATAGAAACAAATTGTGATAAAAACAACATATACTCAACAACCAAAGAAACACACCACTTACACATTAATTTCTATATGGAGAGTAATTTTATTTTTGCATTTATATTTTCAAAGTGATGGAAATGAGTCAAAATTTTTGTGACAAACGTTTCTGAAGTCATAAACACCAAATTCTGGGAAAATGAAAATTTTCTTAATTTTTATTTTTGACATCTCAAAATACACATTTTTAACCAAAGAGTAAAACACTGTTGCCAAATTTCTGAAAACTAAAGTCATGTGTAACTTATGACATAAAAACAATGAAAATAACTTGATTTTCAGTTTCTAAAAACCATTTTTTTTTTCAATTACCAATTTGAAATTGACTTATCTCAGACTTTTTATTTTTGTCTTGTGTGGATGACATCTCAGTTGTTGCCCCTAAAATGAAAATTTCTCTGTAAACTCTGCATTTATTTAAAGGTTATGCTTAAAATATGCTAGATTTCTAGAAATTTGTAGCAAAAACTAGAAATTGTGAAACAACTATATATGATAAAATGTGGTGCGTTATTTGTGTTGTAAAGTTAAGAAAATTGCATCTTTTGAAGATTATTTTGACATCTGTTTCGCAAAACTATAGAGCTAAGCTTAAAATCAATAATTTGCTAAATATTATTCCTCTTATTAATTGAATACATAATAATAATCTGTTTAATTTACATTTTTGGCCCTCTGGTATCATAATGAACCTTACTCAGTGCTTCAAGATGAAGATAAAATATCTCATAACACATCAAGGAAATAATATAAATATGTTTAATTTAATGCGTCTTTATTAGAACTATATATTTAAACAATAAATTAAAACAAAATAAATAAAAGCTAAATTTCTATTTGCACGGCTAACATATTTATTTTCTATCCTTTCTCTTTTGTTAATAGCATCCTCCTTCTTGTTTTCTTTAACATTGTTCAGTAGACCGGACACATCTTCCATTATAAACATTTGCTCATTAGTTTACTTTCGATTATGATAACTGTTTATTCATTACACCTTACACTTTAACACATTTTCTTCCGTGTTTGTCACTTTAATTTTGAATTTTCTGTGAAAAAGGACCATATGCTTTTATAGTGAAGAGTAATTATCTGTAAAGTGTTTAACAGTTTGGAACACTTTGTCAATTTATGGTGTTTTCATGAAAGGTGCGAAACTACATATGTTGGTTATCATTATAGGTCTAGTCAAATCATGTACCAGAACTAAGCTGCACAAAAGGAAGGCAGAATAATAATAAACGATTAGTACAATTACAATTTTTTTGGGATTACATAATAATAATAACAAAGAAAATTTTTCATATCTTTGCTGTTTCCAAGACTATGGCAGCCATTTTGAATTTTCTTAAGTCAAAAGCATATCTACACTTACACATGTTACATGTTAAGTTTCATTTCAAGTTGTGGTACATTTAATTTTTTTTTATATTAATGTTGTTTTAAAGGGTTCGGTGTTCATTTTGATAATTCTATCTTCAAAGTGCACATCTACACATGGTTGTTATTGTTAAGGTTATTTATCATCAAGGTTGGTAAAAATGCGTTCTGCCTGGAGCAGCTGGATACGACCGCAGAGGTCGAACTCTGAACAGTTGGGGCAAGTATGGACACAATATTCAAGCTTGATACAGCTCTGAATTTGGATAGTGATTAAATATTTGACACATTATAGATTTCTGACACAGAATAAATGTGGTCAGATAACTTATTAAATTGCTTCGCCGAGCGCAGCTGGATACGACCGCAGAGGTCCAACCCTGAACAGTTGGTGCAAAAATGGATGCAATATTCGCCCTTGATACAGGTCTGAATTTGGATTGTAATTAAATATTTGACTCATAAAAGGTTTCTGACACAGAATAACTGTAGTCAAAGAACTTAGAATTGGTTATATGATTTGAATTTATATTCAATTATTTTGCTTTTGTGCAATACACTATGCTGTAGCGTATTAACCCCCCCTGCCTTTTTCCCCCCAAAAAAATTCTTTCCCTCAAGATATGGTCATAATCTCAATTCAAATTTCCAATGGAGTTAGCAACCATAATTACCCATTTAAATTTACCATAGTGATAACTTAATCTATTTTATAATAGAATTTAAAATATGGTGTCAAATATTTCATATGGATTTTTTTGTAAAAAAAAAAAATGCAACATTTGCAGATATTTTTACTGGTCGTCCTTTATAAATATGCATTTATTTAAACATAATTTAAAAGCAGTGTAAGGGAGGTAATCAAAACGTTGTATTTGGATTACCTACCTTCTGTGTGAAGTATGGAACCTTGTGGTCAAATCCATTGACTAATACTTAAGTATTTGTCCGGAAACCAGAAAAACCTTGTTCCTCCTCCTCCCTCACCCCCTTTTTGCCCCTTATTCCTGAACGGTTGGAGCCATAACCCCCAAAGTCAAACCAAACCTTCCCTTTGTGGTATGGAACCTTGTGTTTCAATTTCATAGAGATCCATAGACTAATACTTAAGTAATTGTCCATTAACCAGAAAAACCTTGTTTTTCCCCCCTTTTTTTGCCTCTAATTCCTGAACGGTTTGAGCCATAATCCCAAGAGTCAATCCCAACCTTCCCTTTGTGGTATGGAACCTTGTGGTACAATTTCATAGAGATCCATACACTTATAGACCAAGTTATTGTCTGGAAACTAGAAAAATGCCTTTTTTGGCCCTTTTTTACCCCTAATTCCTAAACAGTTGGGACCATAACCAAAATCAATCCCAACTTTCCTTTTGTGCTATTGTACCTTGTGGTTAAATTTCATAGAGATCCATTCACTTATACTAAAGTTATTGTCCTGAAGCCAAATGTCTTCGGACAAAGACGGCAACCACATGATAGCAATATACGAACGCAAATCTTTTGCGGTCGTATAAAAAATCATTCGGGAACCAGACACACAAAAATGATTGGAATAATAATAATTATGAAAAAAAAACAGAGGAATAGCAATAAATATTTCACCCAAATGTCATTAGGGGTAACATAGTTATAATCCTAATTAATAATTGATTTACCAATTAAAGTTTGAAAGCTATCAAAAAAGAAATTATTGAGCTAGATATACATCAATATACAACTCAAATAAAAATTCTGACAAAAGTTAAAAGATATCTAAGTATTTCTATGGATGTTTGTGCAAGGAGTTTAATAGTACAGAATATATATATGTCTAAGGACATTTGTTCAAAGACTGAAAAAAGCATGTGGTTATAAAGGTACACATAGTTTTCAATATTCAAACTGCATTCAATACTCTCTTGTTGCATACAAGAAAAAAGTTTGTTTTTTTCTCTTCTTTAAATTGTCACTACTAATGAATAGCACTGTAATTCTATATGTAGGGATGTTTGGTAACTTTTCTCAGGTGTAGTATTTGAAACCCTTCATGCACAGTTTAACCTAGAGTTAATTTAACCAATATTCTAACAAATATTATTTAAAGGAGATTTTTTATTTGATTAAACACATATAAACACTTTTAATGTGTCATCATGATAACAATAAATATTCTTAATATCTATTACCAATTTACTCTGTAGTCTGCATTTGACTGATGTTTAATGGTTTTTTTTGCTTTGAAGTCTTGTACTTACCATTACCAATTTCTTGTCCATGTTGTAAGTTAACGTATGTCCCACAAAGGAAAAATACTGAAACATAAAAATAAATATTGTATAAAAATGTTAGAATTACCGTTGGAATTAACCATTACCGCTTCATGAAACTAAAACTAGCCATCCCATCTAAATTCAATTTTAAGTATAACATATACATGATACATGTTAATTTTGATGATAATTCAAATGACCTTTTAAAAATTGATCAATAAAGGTGAGAAATATTGTTTACCTTTCATGTCATTTACTTCTACCATAAAACACAAAATTGAAACAATTTGTAAAAGTGTTCAGCTGAACCCTATGTCTTGCCAGTGATTGCTGCTGTCAGTTTCAAAGTTTAATGTTGACTGCAAACATTAAGTTCATCTATAGATCCTAAAGAAGATTCTGTCCAAGTTTCATAACCCAGAAGGTTTAACAAAGTCATTGTTTCTAAAAAAATCATTCACCATGCAAGGTCTGTTTCTAAGTATAAACTGACGGCAAAAACCCCATTTATCTGTAAAATAAATAAATGGGGAATGTGTCTATGGAACACGGATGATGCCCCCACTTGCATATAACATTATAAAGGGATATAACTCAAGAACGGTAAAAGTGACTCTACCCAAATTTGTACTTGATCTGAGTTTTGTTGTAATAAGCATTGTGTATAAGTTTCATAACAATTGGTTGAGGCAAACTTAAGTTAGAGAATTGAAACGAAAAATTCAGCAATTTACCATTTGTAAAGGGGCATAACTGTAGAACGGTAAAAGTGACGCCACCAAAATTCAAACTTGATCTGTGTCTTGTGGTAAAAAAAATTGAATATAAGATTCATAACATTTGGTTGACATGGTTGAGGCAAACTCCGAAACATATTAATGAACTAAAATTAAAAAAAACATACAAGACTAACAAAGGCCAGAGGCTCCTGACTTGGGACAGATGCAAATATGCTATATCTGATAAACTTGAACCTAAGAATGTATCTTAATGTTGAGTACCAAAAAAAAGTAATTTTTCAGTAAAATATAAAAAATCAAAAAATGTATTCTCAAAATTTTGCTCTAAATAGTATCTGCTTTATAACCATATTACAAATAGGCTTATGTCCAAGTATCATAAAATTCCATGAAGGTTTGAAAGAGTTGTGTATATCTTAAAACAAAACTAAACCACAGACTAAACATAAATGTTGTCGATGCCGAAGACGTAATGTAGCAGCATCGATATATGAGCTTCAAAGACTTATGCTAGACATATTTTTAAAAATTATCAATACAATAAAACATACACTGTTGTTTCATGTGAAGTCAGATTTTTACACACACTTATCCATCCACAATAACTGGTTTGAAAGATGTGTATACACTAAACAAATAAATCAATTAAGTTTCATTTTTCTGATCAACAATAGAATAGTCAATGGCATTGTAGTAGGTACCCCGACGTTATTTAGTCAGACCAACAATTGACAAACCTCTAGAAATACAAACAATTCACTCTCGAAATAATAGCATGATATGAAGCAGACACTGACACCTCAGGAACAGAGCTAGAAATGTATCTTGGATCAACGAAAGTCTAATAATAGGTAATTAGTCTATACAATTGTTCATTGTTACTGTGAAAAACAGATAAATATAAACACAAGAATTTTTTTGGTGTAAGATTGATGCTTTTTGTACACCCCAGCTTAGAGAAGTGGTGATAATTTCATTATAGTGATAAAGGGGTCCATTTGTCCTTCTGTCTGTCATCCAGACACATTTTTTTTTCAATCAAAAAATGAATTTTAACCAAACTGTCACATTATAATCTTTAACTATGTAATGTACACAATGTAACTGAGTATAATCTTTAACTATGTAATGTTCACAATGTAATTGAGCATCTCTTTATTTACTTTTTGTTCAAAATGAATTCTTTGGTTTCTCACACCAAATAATGGACTTTTAGAAGGTAGCATTCCTCTCCTGCAATTCCTCCTAATCCAGTGAATTTCAATCAAACTTTCACAATTTCATGTTATAATGCCATTGTGAACCTCCTGTTTAACTTTCTTATCAGAATAATTTCTGGGGTTTACCATTCAAAAAAAAGGAGTTTTCTATTTCATATTATGATTACTACATCCTCCATCTACAACCTCACCATAGCCAATGTAACCTGAAATAAGGCAGCCACAAAAAGTATGCTAGGAATTTTTTCTATCAACTGATCAATAAATTAATACAAATTTTCTGAAAAAATTATCTTCAACATTTGCTACTTTACACACAAATAAACTAGAGGCTCTAAAGAGCCTGTGTCGCTCACCTTGGTATATGTGCATATTAAACAAAGGACACAGATGGATTCATGACAAAATTGTGTTTTGGTGATGGTGATGTGTTTGTAGATCTTACTTTACTGAACATTCTTGCTGCTTACAATTATCTCTATCTATAATGAACTTGGCCCAGTAGTTACAGTGGAAAATATTTTGTAAAAATTTACAAAAATTTACAAAATTTATGAAAATTGTAAAAAATTTACTATAAAGGGCAATAACTCCTTAAGGGGTCAATTGACAATTTTGGTCATGTTGACTTATTTGTAGATCTTACTTTGCTGTACATTATTGCTGTTTACAGTTTATCTCTATCTATCATAATATTCAAGATAATAACCAAAAGCTGCAAAATTTTCTTAAAATTACCAATTCAGGGGCAGCAACCCAACAACATGTTGCCTGATTGGTCTGAAAATTTCAGGGCAGATAGATCTTGACCTAATGAACAATTTGATCCTGTCTGATTTGCTCTAAATGCTTTGGTTACAGAGATATGAGCCAAAAACTGCATTTTACCCTATGTACTATTTTTTAGCCATGTCGGCCATCTTGATTCACGGGCAGGGTCATCGGACACATTTTTTAAACTAGATACGCTAATGATGATTGTGGACAAGTTTGGTTAAATTTGTCTCAGTAGTTTCAGAGGAGAAGATTTTTGTAAAAGATTACAAAAATTTACGAAAAATGGATAAAAATTGACTATAAAGGGCAATAACTCCTTAAGGTTGCAATTCTGTAAATATAGACAATGCAATTTCCCATAGGAACTCCCTTTGCGGCTAAAACTGTGACACTTTTACTATGAAGTTTCGTGAAAAATAATATCCCAGAACGGAAAGTTTATATGCACTACTATTTTATTCAAAGGTCAAAATATAGGGCTGTGCGGCATATTTTCAACATTTATATGCCCTGAACTTCTAAGAGTTTAAACTTATACTAAAATTCTATACTACCCTTACCTTCATATTTGGACTTCCTAAGAATTAAAATTTAGGCGCTACCATGTTTTTCTATACTGGTTACATTTCCAAGTGATGTCTCTATGAGATGAAACACCGAGATCATAAATGGGAACCAGTACATTAACAAATTAACATATCTATGAATATTATATATCTCCCCAAAAGAGGCGTGGTTTGAGAAACAGCTGTATTTACAAAGTGCAACCTATACAAACATTTATTCAAATAGAAAACCTTCTAAAAACACTTTTTCTCACAACAATACTTATTTATCAGAATTATAGCCTTATGGAAATCACTGCATATACTCTAAGTTTCCTTTTACAGTACATTTTATACCCCTACCCCTGTTTCAGTTTTTTAAAGAATTTGAAAACAAGACTTTAATCATTGCCAGCTTACCCTATGTGCATGTTTTCTGACATGAAATGTCTAAAACATGTTTGAAACTATTCTGATAACAAATTGAAAGCATTTTAGAATACTATAAATGTATTGTTTAGTAGTTAATCATTCCAACATTTAAGATTATACAAAGTATCCAATCCTGCCTGTGTCTCCAGTCCACATCTTACTGTATGCCTATTTGTCAATGAAAGTTCACAATTTCTGTCTCAAATGGTCAGTTAAGAATTCTTGTCACAACAGTATCATCTCTAACCATATAACTAACATAAGTTAGTTAATGTATGAACTAGAAGTGTCTAAACAAAGCCATATTTGCAAAATTGTATTTAAGAAGATATCAGTCTGGTGCATAAATTCACTAAAAGTTTGATAGAAATGACTGCTTACATCTTATTTTTGCATAACTTTCCAGCACAGTTATTGTTTTGTTTAGAAAAGACCTTGAAAATAATAAAATCATAGCATTTACAAGTTAAATTATCTGTTTTATGACCCAGGGTAGGCATTTTTTTTCTGTTTTTTGCCCCCTGGGGCCTCACATTTCCTAAATATTTTCCCTGTTTCTAGCAATGTGGAGTATTTAGTATATATTTAGGATAGAACACACTATTGTAAGTTTTATTGAGGTCTTTTGTAATTCTAGCTTGTACTTTTGAATGCCGCGGTCACAAAAAAACACATTTAGGTGTTACGGCTTACTTTTTGGTTATCGACAGGACAAAAATAACCCAACAAAATTATTAGGAAGGATCAATGAGTTGCAATGACTGCGAAGAGTAAATATAAGCACTTCTAAATAATTTAAATCACAAACAGGCATATATTATGAATTTATTTTGAATTCAGGGCTTTAAGTAAACCATGCATACTGTAAATTGTGAATTTATGCTGAGTCATCATAGTTAAGGCTCAGGATTTTCTCAATCTTCATGAAATATTTATAAAACTTCATATCTGAGTTAAATTCTTTAAAATCTCTGAGATAAACCAGATTTTGTGAAATTCTGTATGTTCTATTTTTTAACCCTATATAGGTTGCAATTCTGTAAATATAGACAATGCAATTTCCCATAGGAACTCCCTTTGCGGCTAAAACTGTGACACTTTTACTATGAAGTTTCGTGAAAAATAATATCCCAGAACGGAAAGTTTATATGCACTACTATTTTATTCAAAGGTCAAAATATAGGGCTGTGCGGCATATTTTCAACATTTATATGCCCTGAACTTCTAAGAGTTTAAACTTATACTAAAATTCTATACTACCCTTACCTTCATATTTGGACTTCCTAAGAATTAAAATTTAGGCGCTACCATGTTTTTCTATACTGGTT